TTATATATATATATATATATATATATATATATATATATAAATGAAGTGAGAGAAAGGACAAAGGTGGACACGGATTCCGATACAGCGGAGAAGCCATCCACGTAGGACTTTAAAACTTAAAAGAAAGCGAAGGATCAACTGTGTCGCTTTTCAAGGCCTCCATTCTGCTGGTGTTTTTCTTTCCTTTTAAGGAATCTAAAAGGAGAAGGGAAAACTGAAAAGAAGTGGTGCTCGGAGGGTGCGCTGGTTCATCGATGCACGCCGCGTTTTTGACCGCCGCAGCGATGACAACGAAGCTTCCGCAACCGTTCGCGGTGCGACACAAAGCCGGCGTCCACGGAATCTTTTCCTTTTTTTTTCTTTCCTTCTTTACTCGTTAAGGCGCGCCTGTTCGCACGGAGACGGCATCAGCCATCACGGATGGGTGACTGAGAAAGGAGGGAGGGGGGTCACCGTGGACTCCAACAACAAGCATTTTAAAAAGAAAGCGTGGACCGCATCTACTACCTCGCGTACTCCTCTGTTTAGATCTTGCTCTTCTGCCACTGACCCAGAAAGGCGCGCACCTCAGCCTCCTGCGCCGCCGTGATAGCATTGCTCTTCCTCCACAGGGGGAGCAGCTGGTACAGGCCGACCACTGCCTCGAACTCGTAGCCCAGCCCGTTCAGGAACGCCTTGGCGCCCATCTCACGATCGACCAGGACGACGATGGCCACCACCTCCAACCCCGCAGACTTCAGCTTGTCAATCGCCTCCACCTTCGTCTCACCGGTCGAGACGAGGTCGTCGATAATCACGACGCGGTCGCCCTTCTTGTACTCCCCCTCAATGGCGGCCTTCGTGCCGTAGCTCTTGGCCTCGCGGCGCGGGTAGATGAGTGGGACGTTCATCTCGTTGGAGATCGCGCTGGCGATGGGCAGGGCGGCGTAGGGCAGACCGGCAATGCGGTCAAACTTGTACTGGCGCAGCACCTTCGCGTACTCGCGCGCCACCAGCCGCATGATGCTCGGGTACGTCACTAGACGGCGCAGGTCGATGTAAATCGGCGACGTCTTGCCAGACTTGAGCGTGAAGGTGCCGAAGCGGACGCAGTGCGACTCCACCAGCGCCGTCGCCAGCTCGGTCGACGCGCCTTTGGCGAAGCGGATCGCGTTGATCTCCTCGCACAGCTGCCTCGTCGCCGCGCGTGGGTCGGCGGCACGGGCGATGCCGCGCGACACGTTGATCAGCATCCCGCTGCCATCCGCGCGGAGACCGGCGTCGAGACTCGCCTTGAGGCTGCCGCCCTGCGCACCGATGCCCGGCACGAGAAACCAAAGCGTCGGCGCACGGGCACGCACACGGGCGAGTGCCACCGGGTCCGTCGCGCCCACCACGAGGCCAACGTTCTGGTTTGAATTCCACGGCCCCTCCGCCCGCTCGGCCACCGCCTCGTAGAGGAACCTGTCCCCCACCCGGAGACACTGCAGGTCGTTGCTGCCCTTGTTCGACGTCTTGCACAGCACAAAGACGCCCTTGTCGGCGTAGCGCAGGAAGGACTGGAGGCTGTCGCCGCCCATGTAAGGGGAGGCGGTGATGGCGTGGGCGTGGAGGTGCCGGAAGGCCGACGCCGCGTAGGCATCCGCCGTGTCCGCGATATCGCCGCGCTTCGCATCGAGCACAACGGGGATGTTGGGCGGGACGGCACGGATCACCTCCGCCAGCACCGCCCAGCCCTGCTCGCCAAAGAACTCAAAGAAGGCCGCGTTTGGTTTGTACGCCGCTGCGTAATCTTTGGTCTGCTCGATCAGACGCTTGCACTCCTGCAGGGCGTCTTCGGCGGTCTTGGCGCGTGGGTCCAGGCCCACGCAGAGCAGCGTGTGCTTCGCACGCTCGTTGAGGAGGTCGAAGAAGGACATAGTTCGGTGCGTCTGGAAGCACAGAATACCACCAATAATAGTAGCAACGACAAGCACGAAAGGCAGAAATTTTACAAGCGTCGTTACGCAGCGGATGTTATTTAAAAGGGGGGGATTCTGTGGCTTTTTTTCTTTCTTGGACTTGGCGAGTGACGGCTGTCTCAGTGTTGTGGAGGGCAACAGATTTACAAGAACAGAAAAACGGATTGAAAGAAAGGCGCAGTAAAAGGCGGTGTAGCGCTATTCCATTTACAGAAGAGGAAGAAAGAATAGAAACACCTTGACGGAACCCTTTTGCACCCTTCCGAGCGTTCCCCGTGGGCAACCAGCGCGAACAGTATCCCAGACGTTGGAAGAAATCCTTCTGTTTTTGTTTTTGTTTTTTAAATCCCGCGAGCTCAACCCATCGGAATCGATTTGCGTCTCTTTTCTCTCCTATCACTCTCTGGCCCAGAGGCTCAAGGCACAACAGAAACAAAAGGAACAAAGAACTCTTCCCACATAATACCCGCCCTCTTAGCACTCCACACATACACACACAGACACACACACACATCAACATCAGTTCATACATAACAATAGAAATAATAATACTAATAAATCACGCATGAAGAACAGTAGCGGATTAAAGCAAACCGTGCACAGTCGGTGTACACAACGACGGCGCTCCTCAGGCAAAGGAAGATAGGCGCAGTACGTGTGTGGGTGTGCTTTTCTGGTCGACAGCGAAAACAAACAAAAGTAAAAGAAGAACACGTTGTATGATCCTACGAGCAAACACACACGAGAGGGTGAAAGAACAGAAGACCAAAGATCAAAAAAAGGTCCCATACATCCTACTCGGCCGACTCGCAACGTTGCTTCCGAGTGGTCTTGTTGTACTGGTTCCGTCGAGACAGCAAGAAGACAGAAAAGGGGGGAGAAAAAGAAAACCAAATTACACTATACATCGGACATCTGAACCTTAAACACGTGCGTCCACCTCCTGCAGGTCCAAGTCCCGCTCAAGATACGCTCCGTTGCCGCCCGAACTGCTTTCCAGGTCCGTCATCTGTGTCGTAGGTGCCGCGACGGCCACCAGCTCAGTAGCACCACCACCGGAGGCACCACCATCGTTCAACGCCGGTGTTTCTCCCTGCGCATTCGATGCATCCGGCTTCCGCTCCGCCTCCGCCGCTTCGCTGTCCCACAAATCCAAGCAGAAGAACTCGTACACGAACAGCACAAGACCCAATGCTCCAAAGAAGATGAAAATGATGGCCTGCCCCTTGTGCTGATCGCCCTCTTCTCCACCAGAAAAACCGATCACAGCAATCGGGTAGCACACGTTGATCACCAGATTAAAGAAGAACTGCCACAGCTGCGCGAAGGAGTTGCCGCGGGGACGGAACGACGGCGGAAAGATCTCCTGCAATATGACGTAGAAGCTGGGGCCCACAAAGAGCTCAAAAGCAAAAATAAAGAGACAGATGCCCACCACGGCGCAGGTGTTCGTCACGGAGGCGGAGGCCACGCCGGGGTACACGGGAATGCCACACAGGAAGAGGCACATACACGAAATAAAGCACGAGCCGAACAGGAAAAGTGTCTTCGGTGACACGAAGAGGCTGGCGGGCAGGGAGGCCACTGCGCCAACGAAATTGACCACCAAGGTAAAGAAAACGCCGAGGAACGGTGCCACGTTGAAGCTCGACATCAGCTTCGGTGCGAAATTCGTAAGTGCGTTGAATCCAGTAAAACGAAACGAGGCGTTGATCGCGATGACCATCATCAGCCGCGGTGCCATCTTCCAATAACTGTACTCATTTTGATTCAACGCACCCTCAACGCCTTTCTTAAACTTCACCTTCGAGTCCGCGCAGAAGACGCCGAGCAAGAACAGGAGAATTGCCAGAAGAGTCTGACCGGCCGTGATGCCCTGCATGCGCGCAGAGATGTGCTGACTTGCATTCGCAGCGTAGTCAATCGATTCGCCCTCCCCTACGCTGATAAAACCGGCAAGTAAGCTGCCCGTCGTACCGAAGATCTGAAACATGAACCCAATCTTCTGTTTATACCTCGGCAGCGCGTTCTCATGAACGTAGAGGGGGCAGGCCACCGTGATGAGGCCCATGAAGATGCCCAGCACAAAACGGCTGGAGGCAAGCACCCAGAAGTCATTCAAGGACGCGTGTAAGTGACCCATGATGCTCGTGACAACGCTGAAAAGCCCGCTGACGATGAACGTCAGCCGAGCGCCTATATGCGTCACCAGCGGACCGCCCAGAAATGCGCCGAACACGTTACCCGCAATCATCGAACCGGCAAAGATGGCGAGCTCCTTCGGTGAGAACCCGTTCGGGTTCTGGCACTCCTTCGCGCTGTACGACCACGTGCACCGGCTGTCCTGCAGGCACCGCATCTCCGCCAGCGTCGTATTGCCACCACCGCCCATCCACCCATCGTTCGGGTACGTCGCGCGGCACGTGATCGACAGCCACCCACAGTAGTTCAGCGACTGCGTCGTGCCGTCGTCCAGCGTCACCGTTGCGGTGCGCCACATGCAGTCCGCGAACGGCACCGACTCGCACCCCTTCTGGGCCGTGTAGAGGGCGCAGTTCGTGCCGGTCACAAACAGCTGCGTGTACACGGGCACCAGGGTGATCGAGTAGCCGGAGATGAGGCCGCAGATGATGGGCACCACTGTCACCTTGATGTTCTGACGGTTGAACGCGGCGAGCAGGCTTGCCGGGCTTCTTTGAAACTTCTTTGATTGCGGTGGGTTGATGTTGGGGCTGGTCATGGCGAACTCATCCTTCGGGTGGGCTTCGCGGTGATGGTAGGTGGCATGGGCGAGGTGGTCGCTGTGAAGGTCACCGTCGCTCTGCTGTGGTGGCGGTGACGCTCTCTCGTTGAGCCGAGATGCCCCACGGCCTGCTGTGCGCGGAGGGATGAAATGGTCCTCTGAGTCGAGGGAGGAGCCGGAGTGCTCTGTGTGTTCTTCGCGGTGGAGGCGACTGCGCAGCGGCGATTGCAGCGGCGACGGCTGCTGCGGCGGTGGTGGTGGTGGTAGTTGTGAGGACAGTGATGGAGGCGGTGGGACGGCAAGACGCAGCGCAGTGGAGATATCATTGCCTTGAAGGGGGCCATTCGGCGCCACCACCACCACGTCTGCGCTCGGCTGCGCTACAGGTTCTTCCGGCTGCGGCGCCGTTGGGCCTGCCAGCGCGCCGTCAGTGCCGGCGAACGGGACGGCTGGGTTTTTGTTCGAGGAGGAAGGGGCGTTGTTCGGCAAAGGGAGGAAAGCGGTAGAGGCGAAGGAGGCGTTCTCCTGTTGTGTCGGCCTGTCGTTACGCAGCATTTCCATCAGTGAACAGAATAAATATAATATAAAGAGAGCACGAGAGAGTAAACAGTTTTCTTAAATGGAAGAAAGAGGTGTCACTATATCCTTATTTGGCGTTGCTAAGGTGTTTGTAAGCCCAACGGCTAAAAAAAGCCTCCGTCTTGTGTCACGCACGAACCACGACAGATACGTCAGCAAATATATATATATATTTGCAGTTGTTTATACAAAAGGAAAAAAAAACACCGCCGCCGTAGCTTCTCAAAGCCGTACGTGGAGAAAGAAAGAAGTAAAAACAGTAGTAGATGTAAATCTGTGTTACTTGTTGACCCGTGAATGAGGAAAGCAAAAAAAGGGAAAAAAGAGGAGTGCTTTGGCTGCAGACAACGAAGATGGCGAGCTGCAGTTCACATCCATCACCTCCCGGATGATGCGACAGACTTACAGGGTTATTTATCGAATGGGTAGACTCGACGTCTAGACGTTTCACGTTTGCACACGTTATACACTTTTGCTGCAGTTTAACTTCAAAAAAAAAGGTAGTAGAGGAAATAGTTAGGTTTTCTTAAGATTCTGCCACACTTTATACAGAAAGTCTACTTGCCACTAGGATTCCAGCGAGACAGTGTTCTCAGCTGCGTGTCTCCGTGAAGGTGAAACTTAAAACGACAAGAAGAAAAACAAAGATCTGTAAATCAAATAGAGCGACAACCTTTCGCACTTACTAAAAAGGAGGAAAAGGAAAAATAAAGCTCAGGCAGTTTTGTGTGGGTGGGTACGTAGATGTGCTTCAATAAGGCAAATAAAAGCATGAGATGAATAATAACTAAAGCAGTGGCGAGGGAGGGGGGGGGGGGAGGGGGAGAGGGGTCTGGACGGTGTGTACAAGAACAGTGCGATTTTGCGGTTGTGATGCACATACAAATGACGGCAAAAACAAAAAGGATTTTCGATGACAGGGTTTTTTTTCAATATAAACACGAAAAGAGAAAGGTCAATTACTGCTGTGAAATAGCGTTGCGTGAGTTCACGTCTGCGACGGCAAGTCCAACACTCGAAACTCTCTGTAATGGTGTTTGACAGCTGGGATCAATTAATTCGACGCCCACATCGAATAAGGAAAGGGGAGGAAAACAGAAAAGGAAAGAGAGAGAGAGAGGAGAGAGAGAAGGAGAAGCGCAGATCAGGATGCTCTACAGTTTGTTGAGAAAATGTGCAGTTCAGCAGTGCAATACGCACGGCAGCCCACACAACTAGCAGCGGTGTTGGGAGAGCGTCATGTTCCGGCTCGCATCTCACCGTATATATAACAACCAGCACCCACACGAAAGAACAAGCAGAAAAGTCGGCGCCGTCCCGCAATTAGAAAAGAAGTGGCGGTTTCATTCGGAAGGCTAACAAAGCAGTCGAGGAGGAGCCGCAGTTTGGTATCCCCCCTTCCCCCTCCTCCGCACCACGACTCCTCGACCATCGCACCTCGGACGAGCAACAAACAGAAGAAAGCTTCTTTTTCCTTTCTGTTCTCTTTACGCGTCTTACCGGCGCTTTGTGATGGTGCGGAGTGTATTTGCTCTCTCGTGTATTTTCGTTTTAGTATCTGTTTCGACGCCATTCCCTTGAATGCCTCAGTGCCGTTAAAAGAAAAGGAAGCAAGCCTACAACACTCGTCGGCACACAACACACACGCCGGGCGAAGAAACGCGGTAACCCGCAAATAAAGATGCCTTTTGGTTTCAAGTCTGAAGGATAAATAAAGAGAGGAGGAGAGTGAACAGCACAGAAGAGTCTACACACACACACAGAGAGAGAGACAGAGACACACCGCCAGACAGACTCTCTGTTACCTGTGCAATCGTAACAAAATACATGAAATACCAAAAAAAAAAACATGCCGCCAGAAAGTAATTCGACAAAGAAAAACTAGAGAACAGAAATACTAACAGTTTAAAAAGAAAAAAAGAAATAGGAGCCTGATCATCGACGAGCCGTCCGTTCAGATGAGTCAGGAGCTCACGTTGTGAGCCAGAGAACACGAAAACACAGAGAGCGAGAGAGAGAGAGAAGGGACTTTTTTACGGAGCCGCAACTCCGACAACGTCAAAGACGGGCACGGAAAGCACGCCATCAACAGAAAAAAAGTTAAGTAAACCGCTTGCCATCACCTTTTCCGCCCCGTTTCAGATGCTAAACGCGCATTTCCACCTCGTCTGAGTTTAAGTCCTCCGGAGGCACCCCCATTTGATTCGACGTGCTGTCCCCCGTAACGTTGGGTATGGTGGGGACTTTTTCGGCAGCTTTGCGCTTCCGCTCCGCCTCCGCCGCCGTATCCCACAAATCCAAGCAGAAGAACTCGTACACGAACAGCACAAGACCCAATGCTCCAAAGAAGATGAAAATGACGGCCTGCCCCTTGTGCTGATCGCCCTCCGGGCCACCAGAAAAACTGACCACAGCAATCGAATAGCACACGTTGATCACCAGATTAAAAATGAACTGCCACAGCTGCGCGAAGGAGTTGCCGCGGGGACGGAACGACGGCGGGAAAATATCCTGGCACAGCACGTAGAAGCTGGGGCCCACAAAGACCTCATACGTGAAGATGTAGAGGCAGATGCCCACCACGGCGCAGGTGTTCGTCACGGAGGCGGAGGCCACGCCGGGGTACACGGGAATGCCACACAGGAAGAGGCACATACACGAAATAAAGCACGAGCCGAACAAGAAAAGTGTCTTCGGTGACACGAAGAGGCTGGCGGGCATCGACACCAGACCGCCAGCGCAATTGACCGTTAAGATGATGAAGACACCGAGGAACGGTGCCACGTTGAAGCTCGACATCAGCTTCGGACCGAAATTCGCTAGTGCGTTGAATCCAGTAAAACGAAATGTGGCGTTGAGCGCGATGACCATCATCAGCCGCGGTGCCATCTTCCAATAACTGTACTCATTTTGATTCAACGCACCCTCAACGCCTTTCTTAAACTTCACCTTCGAGTCCGCGCAGAAGACGCCGAGCAAGAACAGGAGAATTGCCAGAAGAGTCTGACCGGCCGTGATGCCCTGCATGCGCGCAGAGATGTGCTGACTTGCATTCGCAGCGTAGTCAATTGTTTCACCGACACCGATGCCGACAACAGCACCGAGAAAACTGCCAACGGTGGCAAACACCTGGAATACGAGGCCCATTTTGGGCTTGTAAAAGGGGTCTGCGTTCTCATGAACGTAGAGGGGGCAGGCCACCGTGATGAGGCCCATGAAGATGCCCAGCACAAAACGGCTGGAGGCAAGCACCCAGAAGTCATTCAAGAGCGCATCAGCGTGACCCATGATGCTCGTGACAACGCTGAAAAACCCGCTGACGATGAACGTCAGCCGAGCGCCCATGCTTGTCACCAGCGGACCGCCCAGGATCGCGCCGAACATGTTACCCGCAATCATCGAACCGGCGAAGACACCCAATTCAGCAATGGTGTACCCGTTCGGGTTCTGGCACTCCTTCGCGCTGTACGACCACGTGCACCGGCTGTCCTGCAGGCACCGCATCTCCGCCAGCGTCGTGTTGCCACCACCGCCCATCCACCCATCGTTCGGGTACGTCGCGCGGCACGTGATCGCCGGCCATCCGCAGTAGTTCAGCGACTGCGTCGTGCCGTCGTCCCGCGTCACCGTTGCGGTGCGCCACATGCAGTCCGCGAACGGCACCGACTCGCACCCCTTCTGGGCCGTGTAGAGGGCGCAGTTCGTGCCGGCCACAAACAGCTGCGTGTACACGGGTACCACAGCGATCGTGTAGCCGGAGATGAGGCCGCCGATGATGGGCACCACTGACACCTTGATATTCTGACGGTTGAAGAGGTGAAGGAGATTCACACGTGGAGGCCGCCGTTGCTGCGGCGAGGACGGGTGGCTCTTCAGCCCACACCCGTACGGCAGGCTGTCTGCGCTGCCGCCGCCTGCGCCGTGTTGAAGGAGATCATCCGCGCTGGTCTGGGGGCCGTCAATGTGGTCCTTGGGCAGGTGAGCATCGTGTGCGTCATGATCGTAGGTACCGTGGGCCAGGTGCTCCGTCAGCTCTGCGTTGTCTTCGATCAGTTCGTCGCTGCTGGCGTGGCGGCCGCCTTGCGGGTCGTAGTGGAGGGGGTCCTCACTGCGCAGGGATACTTCAGAAAACAAATCATCGTCCGCGTCCGCGTCCTCACGCTCCTCACGAGCAACTCTCTGCGGATGCGGCGGCGGTGCGGCGCTCGTCGCCTCGACGGCTGCATTGGTCGAGGGTGGTTCCGGCGGATTGGCAGGTGCGGGCACGCCGGCGTCCCCTTGGGGAGCGCTTTCCGAACTCATGACGGGTGATAAAGCAAAGAAAAAGGCTTTCCAGAAGAAAAAAAATGCTGAAAAGCAAGAGAGGTATACAGTGGACAGAAAAAGAGAAGCGTGCCCGTGTCCGACAACAACAGATGGTAAAGTTAGAAAAGAGAAAGAGAAAGATACTCGCCACGTCGCGCCTTTGCGGTTAGGTTCCCGTGATAGAAGTCTTCTTTTCCAAGGCAGTGAATTTCGGATGTGATGTAAGCCGAAGTGGCTCCTTTCCAGCGCTCTAAAGAAAAAACCTGATAATAGAGAAAACAACGGAGAGGGTTATAATAGCAGCTGATGTTCAAGCGCTCAGCTTTGTATTTATTAGAATGTCTTTATTTGATGGTGTGTGGGTGTGTGGGTGTGTGTTTTTGAAGGTCTGGTAGAACGGTGTTGATAATGGTATCTGCTACGCAAATGACTCGGATAAACTTCGCAAAAGTAAATAAAAAAGAAATACAAAAAGAGAAGAGTTTACAACCGAAAGAGAAAGGAGACGAAGAAGTAACTGCTGGGGAGGTGTGTATCAATACATAGTTAACGTCCACAACAGTTTTCAGCAAGTAAGCCAGAAGAGAAAAAACACAATGGAAAACAAAATGAAAACAGAAAGCAAGGAAACAAGGAAACAAGAAAATAATAACAAAACAAGAAAAATAGATGAGAGAACTCGGGCAGTGCTGCTCTTCTTGTTGTTGTTTGAGGTCTGTGTTTCTGTAGGACCCGCCAAGTATGCAGTTATTTGCTTGGTCCTTCTCTATTTATCTCTTTTTCTTTTTGGCTCTTTGAGGCGGTGCGTCAGGGTTGTTCTCTGACGAAGTACCGTGATGCGCACGCTAAAGAAAAGAGAGCGAGAGGGAGAGGGAGAGACACTTTCCACAGCAGGAGTTCTTTGTTGTTGTTGGATTATTGAAGAAAAGCTGCGCTTACGTGTTCCACGCCGGCGTTGCTCCCGGTAACTCGGCTCCCGTGGCGTATGCCGTGCGGTAATGCAAAAAAAAAAATGCACAGCTGTTGCTCTTCTTTCTGGTGGGGCAGGCACGTTAGAGGCGTAAGGAGGTGGCCGGGGCGTGGTCAAATGGTGGCTCTTTGAGGAAAGCAAATAAAAGAAGGAGACGATTGAATGCTATATAGTGACCTAAGCAAACGGAAATAAATAATAAGGAAGAAAGAAAGAAGGAAGGAAGGAAGAAGGTATGTTCCTGTTTTTCCTTTATATATATATATATATATTTTGTGGTGCTGCAAGCGCATCAAGAGAAAGCGAAAGGAGAGGCGAGGAGAGGTTCCCCCGAGTAAGAGCCGCTGACGGCGACGTGAAAAAAGGGAGAAAAGTAAAACCGCAGAAGAGAATACGGAAAGAAAGAGGCTGCGCTGCAGAAGATTCACTTTGGAAGGAGGGAAGACGCACCCGGCTTTTTTTGTTGTTGTTGTATTATTACTGTTTTATTTCTACACTTAGAAGCAAAATGAGGATATGTGGGAGATAGACACTGGCAGCACGTTGAAGCTCACAACACAAATCAATTGAGGAGGATGAAAGGGAGGAGGGTGGTCCTGCGATTGTAAGGCAATAAAACACGAGCTGCTGTAAGACTTCAAAGATGAACTACTTGGACGCAAACACGTTTCGAATTGTACGTTTGCCGGAAGACAGAATGGTGAGTACTTCTCGTTACGGTCGAGAGAGGAGAGAGAGAGAGGCCGGTGGGTAGAAGGAGAGAGAATTGGGTTAGATTTTTTTTTTTCAAAATGAAATATCGTCAAACGACAAACGGGGTAGAAGATGCTGACAGCGAGGCGCCCCTCCGCTGGCTTCTTCTTCCTATTGATGCTGTCGTTTAATGAAGGAGCTGAACACCTCGCCGCCTTTCAGTGCGTTTTCATGTTACCCTAAGGAACATGCGAACGTCACCGAACCAAGGAAACCCTTAGCCTTTTTTTTCCCAACGGAAAAAAAACCGTTTTTGGAAATGAGTTCAGCCACATAGTTTGTGGAGCTGTTGTTAGCAGGTGCGCCTGTGTTGATGCGTGCGTGCGTGTGTGCGTGTTTGTTTTAATCCCGGAAGAATAAAAGTAATAGCAATAGCGTCCGTCGAAGTACAACAGAAAAAACGCAGTAGGAGAAAAAAGACATCGGGAAATATGTGATGGGAAAGGCAGAAGTATGTATATATATATATATCCAACCAAAGACCCTTTCGAACTACCTAAAGGGTGTGGTGAAGAGTGCGGGAGCGAGCGGGGCGCCACCGCCTCGATTTGCGGTGCGGTGCGGAGTCGAACCACGGCTGCTTTCTTTCGTTCTTCTTCTCTCTACCTCTCTCGTACCTCCTCCTCCGCCTCACCCTCCACCGGTGAAACGATGTTGCCGCCTTCCCGCGCGCCTCGCAATGGCGCTGAAGCCGCCGCGGTGCTGCCGAAGGCGGTGCCCTGGAGGTCGTACATTTCCTTCTCAAAAGTAGCTGCCTCCGCAGGGTACTCCCTCTCCCTTGTCTCCTCCTCCCAGAGCCTTAAAAACAAGAGCTCGATGACGAAGCAAATAAGCCCGACCGCACCGAAGAAGATAAAGAGGATCGCCTGCCCCTTGTGCTGATCGCCCTCCGGGCCACCAGAGAAGCGCTCCGCTGCAATCGGGTAGCACACGTTGATAACGAGGTTGATAATGAACTGCCACAGCTGCGCGAAGGAGTTGCCGCGGGGACGGAACGACGGCGGAAAGATCTCCTGGCACAGCACGTAGAAGCTGGGGCCCACAAAGACCTCAAACCCGAAGATAAACACGCTAATTCCCGTGATGGCACACCCGTTCGTCACGGAGGCGGAGGCCACGCCGGGGTACACGGGAAGGCCACACAGGAAGAGGCACATACACGAAATAAAGCACGAGCCGAACAGGAAAATAGATCGAATGGAGAAGAAGGAGTCGAGCGGGATCGCGACGAGGGTGCCGGTGAAGTTGAAGACGGTCATGATCGTGTTGCCCACCAGCGGCGCCAGGCCGAGGCCGCCCATGATACTCGGTGCAAAGTTGAGAATCGCGTTGAAGCCGGTCAGCCGCATCGTGCAGTTCAGCACAACGGACATGATGAGCGGCCCCATCATTTCCCGATAGCTGTACTCGTTCTGATTCATCCCTCCGGCTTTCTTGCCGTACTTCACCTTACTCTCTGCGCTGAAGAAGCCGAGGCAGACCATCGCGAGCGACACGGCCGTCTGACCACTCGCCAGGCCCTGCATCCGCCCTGCGATGTCCGCGCTGCGGTCGGCGTCGTAGTCCACCGTCTGCCCCACGCCCAGCCCGATCGTCCCGGCAAGAAAGACGCCTAACGTGGTAAAGACCTGAAAGAGCGTGCCCAGCTTTCGGCGGTAGAGCGGTGCCGCGTTCGTGTTCACGTAGAGGGGGCAGGCCACCGTGATGAGGCCCATGAAGATGCCAATCACGAAGCGCTCCACCACGAGCACCCAGAACTCGTCCGTCGCGGCATCGACGTGGCCCATCACGGAGCACGCCACCGACAAAAGGCCGCTGATGATGAACGTCAGCCGAGTGCCCATGCTCGTCACCAGCGGACCGCCCAGGATCGCGCCGAACATGCTGCCCGCAATGATGCTGCCGGCGAAGACACCCGTGTCGGACGCCGAGTACCCCGACAGGTTCTGGCACTCCTTCGCGCTGTACGACCACGTGCACCGGCTGTCCTGCAGGCACCGCATCTCCGCCAGCGTCGTGTTGCCACCACCGCCCATCCACCCATCGTTCGGGTACGTCGCGCGGCACGTGATCGCCGGCCATCCGCAGTAGTTCAGCGACTGCGTCGTGCCGTCGTCCCGCGTCACCGTTGCGGTGCGCCACATGCAGTCCGCGAACGGCACCGACTCGCACCCCTTCTGGGCCGTGTAGAGGGCGCAGTTCGTGCTCATCTTATAAAGCTGCGTGTAAGGAGCGACGTAGCCGATGGTGTAGCCGTTAATAATCCCGCAGACGAAAGGAACGGCGGCGACCTGTAGGTTGTGTTTACTGAAGAAGCCGCGCAGCGTGACACGGGCAAGGGGTGCAGCGCCGTCTTCAGGATACTCGTCAACGTTTTCCTGCGAGTCCGCAACGTTATCAAAGTTGTCCCGTCGATTCAGGTTTTCCAGGTCATCGAGGTTGTCCACGTCATCCACCCATGGATCGCGCAGCTCTGCCTTCTTCGATGCCGCCTTCGCGAAGGTGTGCGCACCGCCCTCCCGGCTGCGATGGCGTGAGTCGCTCGGCGAGGGCCGGACAGGCTCCTCCCCCGAGGTGGGCGTCTCCGCTGGGGTGGTCGGCAGCGTCCGCAGAAGGGAGCTCCCGTGCAACATGCTGCATTCCCGACTCCTGTCCAGCAGCGGCGACGGGGGCGAGACGGCGTGTGTCCACTGCGGCAGCGGCGACGCATCGACCGCGTGCATGTTCGGCTTGACTTCTTCCGCTTCGCGCGTGCTGCCTGCCGGTTCGCTTGCGATTGTTTCTTCCGCCTTCGGAGGGGCGGCGAGGTCGTACAGATGCGGCGTGCTGCTCGGCAGCACCGCACCGGCCGAAGAGAGAGACGTCGGCATGAAGGTGAGCTGTTGTTGCCGCTGTGAGTTGTTGCCACTTGCTGTAGCTCGCCGGCCTGAGTTGAGTGCGTGCGGGTAGCGATAGGCTCCGAGTGTTTTCCGCTGTGGTGGTTTTTTGCTTGTGCCGTACTAGAGAAAAAAAAAAGAATAGGCGCTTTGCTGTGGGTTTTATTTTGATGTGAAGAGCAAAACACTGAAATGTAAAAACAGTAAATAAGCGCCACTTGAGAAGATGTTTTCGGGTCCAGATGGTTGCCTTGCGCGCTGTTCACCTCCTGCGTCCCGTGAAACTCGAAAACAAAAAAGGGGGGAAAAAAAAACTCAGCAGCCACCGACACAACGTACGAGAACTTCAACACGCAAAAAGATAATATAAAATAGAATGACCTCGACTGAGAAAGGTCGTTTACGTATTGTTGCCGAAGGCGGGTAATAAGCGTGGGAGACGCAGTAAATGAGAGATGCAGAAGGGGTTTTTTCTTCAAGTTTTGTTGACAAGGAAAAGAAAAGGAAGAAGAGAAATGCGCTGGCAGGGGTTACGGAGACGCTTGCTTGTCACGTGAGACAATAAACAAAGAAAAAAAAACAAAGAAAAAAAAACAAAGAAAAAAAAGGTAAGGAGACAACAAAAACAAAAGCGGGTTACCCACGAAAAGGTATTATTTTCTTTGCTTCTTTCATGTCCCGCAAACGAATGCGGCGTTGCACGATCGCACGTAGGCGATAAGAGAATGCGATAGGAGGCGAGACTATTCTCCGTACGACCTGAAATCACCACCGACAAATCGAATTGACTGGTGCTGGATTGTTTGTTGGTTGCCTGTTGTTGATTTCTTTTTCCACAGAAGAGAGAACGAGAGAGGAAGAGGGGCGGGGGAGGAGGAGGTGTTAATAGCCTTTGGCAGTGATGCTGGGTCTCTTCCACAGATATATATAGGAATAGCTAGTAAAGACAAGTAAAGCAGTCGTGCTACGCAGTCCGAGAACTTGCGGAGACGATGTGACACGGTCAGAAGGAAGAAAGGAAGAAAGGGGCGGAAAAGTCCGCTCGCCGTGAAGAAATCAGAGAAGTGATGTGCAACAGCAAGTCTTCAAATGAGTGTGCATGTATATATTAACGAATGTGCTCTAGCGGTTGGATTTGTGGAAAAGTTAGAAGTAGGAAGAGAACAGAAGGCGGTAGAGAGAGAGGAGGGTGACAGCAAAGACGAAGTACGGATTGCCCTGGCAGTTTTTCTTCCACGCAGCGTGCGGAGCCTCACACGAGCGCCACCAATCACGGCGGGCACAGTGCACGCCCCAGAGAAACCAAGTAATCGTTTGTCTTTGACAGCAATGTGACTCATCAGCAACGAGATACCCTTTTTTCTTAGTGCCGTATTCGTCCCATACGAATCGCCCCTCTGTCTGTTGTCTGTTGTCGATCGGTGTTGTTGTGTGAAAGAGGGCTCTCTGTCTTCCGTGCTCCGTACACGAGGAGCGAACGCCGCAGCAGCAGCAGCAGCGGCCTTTTCTCTTTCCCTCCGTCTGCCCCACCGCAGAAATATCAGAACCAACTCGCTGATGTGACGCAAAAAGGAGGCCTTTGCACGAGGAGCGCATTCTGCCCGCATCCAATGAAAAACGAAGTGTGCATGCGTGCGTGTGTGTGTGTGTGTGTGTGTGTGTGTGTAATGAAGCAGAACAAGAAAAGAGATCGTGTTGTCTACCCTCTCAAGGCCAGCATGGAGGTGGCGACGTGCTGCACCACGCGCAGAAGTTCTTGCTCCTTCTTCCCTTGCAGTGCATGGCCGTTGTCCACCACCCACCACGGCCGTACCGCGGACGCAGCAGCAGCAGTCCCACACGGCGATCGATGCCGCACACGGTGCATCTGCAAAGGCGACAGGAGACGATCGTAGAAGAGCACCTCAAAGAAGAACCAGTAACGAAACTCGTAGTAGAAGGGCGCGAGCGCCGCTGCCACGCACGACGCACTGGGCGGGGGTGACCAGGAAGAGGAGGTCGCTCCGTGAGCCGCAGCTGCAGCAGCAGGCGCGGTCTGACTCGGCTCGCGTGCGAGCGCCTGCAGTCCTCGTTCGGCCAGCACCTGCGCCACGTAGGCCTTCCCGGTGAGACCGTTATCGGCGGCAACGTCCGTTGCGGGAGTCAACGGCGCGGAGACCGTCGGATGATCCGCACCGTCTCCGCGAGGCACAAACACCGACCTGTCCATCTTTCCCTCCTCCCCAGCAGCGGAGACGGACGCCCACGATAAGGCCCTCGCGTCTGACGGAGACGATGGGTGCGAGAGCCACTGCTCAAACTCCACCTCCCAAAAGCGCTGGAAGGCACGCGTGGGAACGCCCTCGGGAGTCCAGTACGCGTCGGTGTCGCACGTGGGTGATTCCTCCCCCCTCTCCCCACTCGTCGCACCTGTCATTCCACTCGGTACGTGTGGGCGAGGTGGATTGAATACCGTCGGCGCCAGAAGGCGCTCCACACCCTCGACCGCCACAGCAGCAGCGGCATCACCGTCGTCGCCATCGTTTTGCATATCCCGCCGCATTTCTTGCAGAAGGTCATTTCGCAAGGCAATGCGTTGCGCCTCGCACGACCGCGCCGCCCACATCTGCGTAATGCGCGGGCGATAGAGCTGTCGCACCACGCGGGTCACCGCCAGCGCGGCGTTGGCGCGGAGTCGCTCCTCAGCCTCTCCTTTCGTTTCCTCGACGCCATCGCCATGAGGGCTCCTCTTCTTCCCTGTTCCATCAGCTTCGTCCTCACGAAGCAATTGGATCGCGTGCTGTATCACGTGGCGACGCGGAGAGCGGAAGAAGCGCCGAAGACACGCCGTCTCCGGCTCGCACCGCACCACGACGACGTCGTCCACGCACGCGCTCACGGCGGCACCGCAGAGAAGCGTAAACCCCTCCCACACCACATAGACGGTGATCGCGTTGCGCACGGCGGCACCGGGTCCCCCAGGCGGACAGCTTACGCCGATGGGATCGGCTGAAGAGCTCCCGGGTGTTGTGGGGGCGACAGCGTTAGCCCGCCGTTCCCCGTCCTCCGCTTCGTGAGCGCAGAGGGATGCGTCATCCGGCAGATCTTCCGCTTCCTCGTTGCCCGCCGCCTCCGCCCTACGCCCTGTTGGGCACGGTTCTATAAGGCCGGTGGGGGAGCGCAGGTAAGGGGCCAGGTCAGGGAGCTGTGCGAGCTTCTGTGCGCACCACGCGTCTCGTGTGTGTGCTGCCCACGCATCGCTCGTACCTTCCGATGGTGCCCCACATTCAACCAGGGAACTCTGCCGCAGCGTCTGCATCCAGTGCGTGATTGTGGCGTAGTCGAGGCAGCGGTAGTCGTCGTAGGTGCCGAGTCTGGTGCAGACGTCATCAAGAAAAAATTGATCGGTGCTGATGGGGTGCAGCGGTGAGGAAAGGTGCTGCGCAAGCTGATGCGCAACGGTGGACTTGCCCGACGCGCTGCACCCCAGCACCCCAACCATTCGCACATCAACGGCGATGGTGGGCGTCGCTGCTGGTGTCGGTGCGGTGCTTGTCATGGCGTACACCGCGCCAGACACCCAGCTCTTCTTCTTTTAGGGCCGCACAGCACCACGGGGCAACGGGTGTCCCCCGCTTGCCTGCACACGTACAAGTGGTGAGCGGCGCACACGCCCCACACGTTTACGCAGCGGCCGTGTTTGCACCCAGAAGGTGCTTTCTTTTCTTTTTTTTGGTGTTTTGTAAATGCCGGGTGGCGAGAAGGATGAAGAAAACGTACGAGGAGGAAGAGGAGTAAAGACAATCGTTTTTACCTGAACGAACCCGCGAGAGGGGAGAAGGGGAGAAGAGCTCGAAGAAGGGAAAGAGAACAGAGAGAGAGGAGCTCGGCACTGCGGTCTGCGTCACGTGCAACTCACCCTTCCTTCGCCGCGCTCGATGGTCCCCATCCCCGGACGGTAGAACCATGTCGTCCATCTGCCCATGTTATCCCTCGGCAGACGTCTCCCACGCGGTGCAGTTCCGTTGCCATGACAGCCTCTGCTGGCTCACTCTCTCTCACCACATTCCCTTGACGCTTTCCAGTTTCACTTAATCGGTATTTTGCATTGTTGGAGGTTTTGTCGAAGGCTTGAGCCATCCCAGCTTCTTTTCGAAGCTCTCATATTTCCATTTCGAGTCTGTCAGAGGTAAAGTAGAAAATTGTATTTCATTTCTTTGTTTTCGTTTGTTTATCGAGGTGAGGGAGAAGCACGGGACATCACCGCCAACAGTGCGACGCCTCGGGGAGGGGAGAAGGGAGGAATGCGAAGACGCGAACGTCTTCTAAAAGAGAAAACAAAATGAGAGAAGATTCATCTATGGAAGGAACTAATCAACAACCTTGTCGTGCGCACGAACCGCAGAGACACACGGAAAGTGTGACGCCGTGACGTGCAGGACAAGGTGTTGGCGAGGTTTGCGGACCACCTTTAGTGGCGCTCACCGCGCAGGCGCATCGCCAGCTGCACGTCCTTCGGCTGGATCGTCACGCGCTTCGCGTGGATGCAGGCGAGGTTCGTGTCCGCCAGCACCGACACAATGTACGACTCCGTCGCCTCCTGGATCGCCATGATCGCGCTGCTCTGGAAGCGCAGGCCCTCCTTCTGCGCGCTCGACACCTCGCGCACCAGGCGCTGGAACGGCGCACGCTGGATCAGCAGGTCCGTGCTCTTCTGGAAGCGGCGGATCTCGCGGATCGCGCACGTGCCCGGGCGCCAGCGGCGCTGCGCCTTCTTCACGCCCGACGCGGCGCGCGGCGCCTTCTTGCTCTTCTTCGACGTGATGCTGCGCTTCGCGCGGGCGGTCTCCTTGGTGCGGGACATGGTGAGGGTGAGGGGGAGGGGGGTTGGAAAGCGGTTGGGAGGGGTAAAGCTGTGGTGAGCGATGAGCTGTGAGCGTGTAAGCACGGCCAGGAGTGAGAAGCAGCAGAAAACAGTCGCAGTCGACGACGCGTGTTGATAGAGAAGAAAGATGAAAAGAAGGGAGAGAACACAAGTGAAGAAAGACAGCAGTTGTCTGAAAACGGCCTTTGCGCATGAAAAAGGAAGAAATGGCGTCCCAGTACAGCAAGCTCGGCGAGCATTGTAATTCCACGGCACCTTCTTCCCCGCTCTACTGGCATCGGACACCCCTTTTATTTCTTCTTTCTTTTTTCAGCCACAGAAATCAGAAACGGCAGGCGGCGACGAATCGAAGCCGCCGAACCGCGCCGACAGCGGCCACTCAACAGCGTCAGCAATTTGCTTGAGTACTTTTCCCTGTTGTTGCTTGTCTTAGCCTCATCGGTGTGGGTACGCTACGCAGGTGTCACCGATGTAAAACAAATGTATATATATAAAAGAAAAAGGACATGACAGGCCCAAAGTCATCAACTTGACTCGGCCACAGCGTTCTTTCTTTTGAGGCTTCTGCTGATTAAAGCACCTCAGCCTTCGACCGCCAATCAACACACACATCAATAATAAATAAAGTATTAAGGACGATAGCGAGACAACGTACGGACGATAAAGCTTGCTGTCCCCGTTGCTTTCCTTTCGTTGCGAACCTTCTTCCATGAACAAAAAAAAATTGCAGCTACCAGGGTGCTGTCGCCTCGTCCTACGTGACCATTCGATAGAGCCGTTTTTCTTTAGTTTTATGGGTTAGCCCCCTTTTCTTTCATCTGCGCGCATGTTTCTGCTCTAGTGTGAGACGGCACGCCCCAGCAGCTGCCAGCCCTCGTACGGGGTCCACCTACACTTGGAGTGCAGCTCCGTCCCCACCACCGTCCATGCACACGACAAGTCAAAGCTGCGGTGTGGCGCGCTCGGCTCGCCGAGGTGGAAGATGCGGTTTGGATTTGTATGCAGAACCCGTACGATGTCCTCCATCCGCAGCGTGCGCCCCCGCTGCGCCGCCTCCACGAGGGCCGTCGGCCGTGGTGCGGTGGGGTGCGGCCAGCGCCCAGCCACGACCGTCAACAGAAGCGGGACGACGACTTCGATGGCCGGCATCCCACTCGGCGGCTGCCCCGCGGTGTTCTTCTCATCCAGCGTGTGCGGGGCGTGGTCGGTGCCAACGCAGTCCACCGTGCCGTCGAGCAGGCCAGCCCATAATGCCTCGTGATGCTGCGGCAGCCGCACCGGCGGGTTCACCTTCACCCGGGCCCCGCAACAAGAGTAATCCTCGGTTGTCAAGAAGAGGTGATGTGGCGTAACCTCACATGTGAGCGGCAGCGTAGGGTCGGCGAGGCGGGTTTCGCGCACCGCGTCGAGGCTCTGCGCCGTCGAGACGTGCGCGAGGTGCAGCGGGGTGCGGTGCTGCCGGGCGAAGGCGATGGCCTCCTGCACCGACGCCGCCTCCGACTCCGCCGGTCGACGGAGGGAGTGGGAGGCCGGTCCGTCGTAGGGGTGCTGCGCCGCCGCTGCGTCGTTTATCTGCGACTGCTCGCAGTGCGCCACCAGGACAATCTGGAGACGACCGCACAGCTCAAACGCCTTTTCGGTGACGGCGACGCTAGACTTCATGTTGCCGGTGGAGTTGTCTAGGTAGAGCTTTAACCCGCAACAGTGCTGCTTGAGGTCGGCGTGAGTTGGGTTTGTCCACAGCTCCTCCAACTCCTTCAGGTGTTCCTCGGCGGTCGCGCCAAAGAAGAAGAAGAGGCGGCAGTCGGCGTGCGCGGTGGCCGTCGCACGAGCCACCTTGTCGGCCAGAGCGGCGATGCTCTGTGTTGGCGGGGCGGTGTTCGGCATGTCGCACGCCGCCGAGATGCCGCCGTAGTATGCCGCCGTGCTCTCGCTCGCAATGTCGCCCTTGTGCTCGAGTCCTGGCTCACGAAAGTGGACGTGGCAGTCAATTAGCGGAGGCAGATGCGCCATCGTGCCGTCTTGCGCGTAAGAAGGAGCGGCAGACATGGTTTATTCGGTTCGTGAAGAACGCGCCGGTAGTCTCAGGGCCTACCCTTGAAAAGAGAAAAGGAAGGGGTTTTTATTATTATTATTTTGGTAGCCGTTAAACGCAAACCGCTTGTCTCTTTAAAATAGGCGATACAGAGGAATTACCTGCGTGTGGAGCGTGCTAAAATAGGAGAGAAAGAAGAACGAGTGAAAGAGAATTACGAAAAACAGAAGATTCTGGAAGAGCCTGTTGATTCAAACCGCTAGACGGGAGCAAGCAACCAGAGATCCGCTCTGTATGTGCGTGCGTATGCCTCTTTTCCTTTTCCTTTTCGGAAGGCCAACGAGCAAGCCCTCCTGACCCTGACAAACTGCAAAGTGCGCCAATACATTTGCCAGAGACAATGGTTGAATAGATGGAGTCCACATGCCGTCTTCTCCGCGCCTTCAAGTACGCAAGAGAAAAGAATGCTTTAGAAGTGCTACGCAGATCTTTCCTTTATCCTTCTTGGTGCCGCGCACATTCACTTGCATGCAGCTTTCTCGGCTACGCCACGATTAGTTTACTTTCCTTACTGATGCTTGGTGTTTTGCAGTTAGTGAAGATTAGACCTTACACGCCCACGTCACAGCATTTCGGCTGCTTTAGAAGATGAATAGATAATAATAATAACAAAGGAAAGGAAAAGGAAAGGGAAAGGAAAAGAACAAGGGGAGGGAACTGCGCACGAGCGTCGTCTGTGAATACACAGGTTTTACTGTTTATATATATATATCACGCACACAAACCGACTGATAGCACTGGAGAACACCAAATGCGAAGTGATGGGAAGAGAAGAAAGAAAAAAAAATAGCAAACGTACTTCGTACTCCAGACGCTCCACCACCACCACCACCAATCCCACGCGCACGCGTCTGACCTCCACTTGTATGTGTGAGGGTGTGTATATCACGACCCTTGCCGTCGGCACGACGACGTCACGTCTCGCACCGATCTGCGCCGAGAACCCACAGCAGCGCCTGTCTTTTCCCTTTCCTTTTGTTACTTCTCCGTATCGAGATGCAGCGAGACACCGCGTTATCTGAATTGATGTGTCGTTAGGGTAGTGTGTGTGAGAGAGAGATACATAAGACAATAAGCAAGTAAATCTTTGTTTTATAGTTCAACACGAACAAGACTATGCGGTGCGGCTTACCACTGCACATCGCTGAAAGAGCCATTGCCTGGCTGGAACACCTCCTCTAACTCCTCCTCCGTCACCAGCTGGGACGCCACACGGCGGTCGACCGGGTTCTGCACGTGCGACAGCTTCAAAAAGATGATCTCGCCCTGGTGCAGCTCCAACTCCACAACTCCACCCACATCGGCGGTCAGGAAGCGCACTGCCTCGATGGCGGACTGCGTGTGCTTCTCCGCCAGCTGCCCAATCGCGATGTTCGACGAGACGTGCCGCGAGTAGGAGCGGAAGAGGTCCGCCGCGGCGCGGTCAAACGACACGTCATAGAGGAACTGCAAACCGACAGAGAGGAGGCACATGCCCGGGGCTTCGAACATCGCCCCCTCGCGGGTGCGGGTGACGCCGCAGCCGTTGCGGCCGGCGATGTCATTCGCCATCTGCAGCGCCAGCAGCGGTGTCACGTCCACACCGTTGATGTTCACGCAGCGGGCACCGCGGAAGGTCAGCGAGAGAAACTCCGGCGTCGAGCTGCACTCCCGGATCGGCTTCACCAGCGTGGACGGAGGCAGGCTGCGCATGTCCTTGCAGTAATACGTGTTTCCGCACACAGAGCTGTGTACCTGGCCACTGTTCTTCACCGTCGCCTTGATGCCGTGCTTGCGCAGGAAGCTGATCTGATCGGCCGCCGTCTCGGAGTCTTCCATGAGCCGTGCGTCGCGCCACGCGTTGTACACGCCCATCTCGGGGCAGTTGATCTGCACGTACTTCTCAAAGCCTGCCTCCTTCTTGTTCTGCTTCGACGTCTGTGCGACGACGGTCATGCGCTTATCGCGCATCACGAGCAGCAGGCAGCGGCCAAAGATGTACCAGCTCAGCTTCGACAGGTGCCAGTTGTGGTTCTCATCGGCGGACTGGCACATGATGAGGTCGAAGGCGGCGTCCGCAATTTCAGAGCGCAGGTCGACCACCTCCACCGGCACGTTCAGGTTCTTAAAGGCTTCCTCGAAGTGGTCGATGTCCGACCCGCCCAGGTAGGCGTGGAAGCACGTGATGTTCAGCCCTTCCTGGCTCAGCCGCAGGGCCAGCACCTTGCTATCGTTGTTGTTGGTGATCATCAGGCCCACCTTGTGCCGCCGCAGCATCGCACAATTGTTGTTCTCGATCTTGTGGTAGATCTTGGGGACGTAGTGGCGGAACGGCTCGATCTCGATGGCAGACGGAGCCAGGTCCATGCACTCGCAGAAGAGCTTCACGATATTCGGCTCCGTCAGCAGCGGGATGTTGTAGTCGACAGCGAGACGGCGCACCCAGTAGTCCGGTGAGGCCGTCGCGCGGGTGCAGCGGCGCAGCACGAAGTCCCTCTTCTTGTCGCGGATCTGAATTACCAGGTCGAACTTCTCCTTCTTGGCCACCTCCTCCTCGTACTGCGACAGCTCGCCCTCCTTCAGGTCTTGCATCTCGAAGCGCTGCTTCAGCACTTCGCACTCGATGCCGTACTCACTCAGCACCGCCGCCGTCTGCGTGGCGCAGTAGATCTTCAACTTCTTCGCGACAAGGTGCTGCAGGTAGGGGCAGAGCGCCTCCGTTTGGCTGTCGACGTCGCTGCTGAAGAAGACGCCCTTTTCGGGGATCTTGAAGTTCTGGCACAGCATCGCCTTGAGGAACACCTCGTGCATGTCGCGGCCAAAGACGCCAATCTCTCCGGTGGAGGCCATCTCCACCCCGAGAATGGGGTCGGCCCCGGCGAGGCGGTTGAAGCTGAACATGGACGCCTTGCAGCCGATGTGCGTCATCTTCGCCCGCTTGATCGGGACGAGGTTTTGGTCCTTGCGGGAGAGAAAGGCGGACACCATCATCGCCGGGAAAGAGATGCCGAGCGTCTTGGAGACGAAGGGGACCGAGCGGGAGCTGCGCACGTTCGCCTCAATCACACGCAGCTGCCCCTCCGCCGTCAGAAGGAACTGCACGTTCATCGGCCCCACCACATCGAGCTTCTCCGCAATGCAGGTGACCGAGTCGTAAATGCGCTTCATCGTATCCTTGTCCGTGTTCTGCGGCGGCAGCAGCATCGTCGCGTCGCCGGAGTGCACGCCGGCGTTTTCGACGTGCTCGCAGATGGCGTAGCACAGCACCCGGCCGTGGTGCGCCACGATGTCGACGTCGTACTCCATCGCGCCCTCGTAGTACTTGCTCACGACGACTGGGTGGTCGCCCGAGACGAGCGAGGCCTCTTTCAGGTACCGCGTCACGTCCTCCTTGTTCGAGATGACCGCCATGGCCGACCCGCTCAGCACGTAGCTCGGCCGCACCAGCGCCGGGTAGCCGACGGAGTCGCAGAAGAGGTGCACCTGCTCGACGGACGTGGCAGAGGTCCACTCCGGCTGTGGCACGCCGAGGTCGTCGCACATCTGCGAGAACTTGTTGCGGTCCTCTGCCATGTCGATGTTCGACGGGTCCGTGCCGAGGATCGGCAGCCCAGCCTTCTTGAGGTTCAGCGCCATGTTCTGCACCACCTGACCGCCAAGCGAGATCACCACCCCCCGCACGCGCTCCTTCGTCAGGATGTCCATCACCGTCTCCTCGGACACCTCGTCGAAGTACAGGCGGTCGCACTCGTCGTAATCCGTCGAGACCGTCTCGGGGTTGTAGTTGATGAGGATGACTTTGTTGCCCAGCCGGCGCAGCTCACGCGCCACGAGGACGCCGCCGTAGTCGAACTCCACGCTGTTGCCGATGCGGTAGACACCGCAGCCCAGCACGGCGTACATGCGCTCCGTGAAGGGCACATCATCGCGCTGGGCGTTGTAGGTGGTGTAGAGATAGCAGCACTGCGCGGCCGGGTACTCGCCGGCGACGGTGTCGATCTGCTTGATCAGCGGCATCACGCCCAGCTCGAGGCGGCGAGCGCGGACTTCGCCCGGGGTGGAGCCGACGTACTCCGCCAGCTGACGATCGCTGAAGCCGTGCGCTTTGAGGTTCAGCAGATAGTCGCGCGGCATCTCCGTCATCTTGCTCCGGTACAGCTCCGCCGCCGCACGGGGCAGGCGCACCAGCTTCTCCAGCTTATACAAGAAGAAGCGGGTGATCTTGGTGATGGCGTAGAGCTCCTCGACGCTGTGGCCCTCCTGCAGGGCGCGGCAGAGGGCGAAGATGCGGTAGGGCGTGGGGTGGCGGATGTGCTCCATGTAGTCGAAGTCGGCGCCGCGGAAGCGCTCCGGCACGGAGAAGCCGGTGTAGCTCGGGTCGATCATGCGGACCGCCTTCTGCAGCGCCTCTTCGAAGGTGCGGCCAATCGACATCACCTCCCCGACGCTCTTCATCATCGAGCCGATTTCCTCGCTGACCATGTTGAACTTGTTGAGGTCCCAGCGAGGCATCTTCACGACGATGTAGTCAAGACTGGGCTCGAAGCACGCCATGGTGGTCTTCGTCACGCCGTTGGTGATTTCAAAGAGACCCTTGCCGAGGGCGATCTTCGTCGCCACGTGCGCGAGCGGGTAGCCGGTCGCCTTCGACGCCAGCGCGGAGGAGCGGGAGAGGCGGGCGTTCACCTCAATCACAACGTAGCGATGGCTAAAGGGGTCTAGGCCGTACTGGATGTTGCACTCCCCCACAATGCCAAGGTGCCGGATAATTTTAATGGAGGCGCTGCGCAGCAGGTGGTACTCGTCGTTGCTCAGCGTCTGCGACGGCGCTACGACGATCGACTCGCCGGTGTGAATACCCATCGGGTCGAAATTCTCCATGTTGCACACGGTGATGCAATTGTCGTAGATGTCCCTCACCACCTCGTACTCGACCTCCTTCCAGCCCGCCACGCTCTCCTCCAGCAGCACCTGCGGAGAGGCAGCGAGGGCGACCTCGACCTTGTGCCGCAGCTGCTCTTGGTTCTCCACGATGCCGCTGCCCTGCCCACCGAGGCAGTAGGCCGCACGCACCATCATCGGGAAGCCGATCTCGTGACTCGTCGCAACCGCTTCCGCCACCGAGGTCACCGCCGCTGATTTCGCCACCTGCTCGTTGATCTGCAGCAGTGTGTCGCGGAAGAGTTCGCGATCCTCGGTGACGGCGATGACGGAGACCGGCGTGCCGAGGACTTGCACGTTGTACTTCCGCAGGATGCCGAGCTCATCCAGCTTCAGCCCGCAGTTCAGCGCCGTCTGACCACCCCAGCCGAGCATAATCCCATCCGGCCGCTCCTTCTCTATCACGCGCTCTACCGCCTCGACGGTAAGGGGCACGAAGTAGATGTGGTCGGCCATCTCGTCGTCCGTCTGCACCGTGGCGATGTTCGGGTTGATGAGCACCGTCTCCACCCCCTCCTCGCGGAGAGACTTGAGGCATTGCGAGCCGCTGTAGTCGAACTCGCCGGCTTGCGCAATGACGATGCCGCCTGCGCCGAGCACAAGCACCTTGCGCGGCTTGAACTTGGCGAGCACCTGCACCTTCGACTCCTTCACGCGCTTCACGTACTCGCCGAAAAGGTACTCCGTGTCCTGCGGGCCGCAGCGGCCCTCGGGGTGGAACTGCACACTGCAGAACGGCTTCGTCTTGTGCCACAAGCCCTCGTTGCTGTGGTCGTTGGGGTTCGTGAAGTACTCTGTCCACTCCTCCGCCGGCAGGCTCTTGAAGTCGACGGCGAAGCCGTGGTTCTGCGTGGTGATGACGACGTGGTTGTCCAGGTTGCACTTGCACGGCTGGTTCTGTCCGCGGTGGCCGTACTTCATCTTGTAGGTGGTGCCGCCGGCGGCAAGGCAGAGCATTTGGTTGCCCATGCAAATGCCGAAGATCGGCTTGTCCTGCTGCAGCGCCCAGCGCACGCTGCGGATGGTGCTCGTGCACATCTGTGGGTTTCCCGGGCCGTTCGTGATGAAGAGGCCGTCGTACAGCTCCGTCGTGATGTCCCAATCGTGTGGGACGACGATCAGCGTGACGTCGTACTTCAGCAAGCAGCGCAGCGTGTTCAGCTTCACACCCATGTCGATCACAAGAATACGCAGCGTGCCGTGTCCGTAGGTGACGCGGCTCTTGGTGCTCACCTCGGCCACGAGGTTGCGCGTGTTCGGGTCCGCAAAGGGGACGTCGTGGCCGCCCACGAGCACCTTACCCAGTGCCGTGCCCATGTCCCGCAGCTTCAACACGATGCTGCGCGTGTCGACCATCATCATGCCAGGGATCTTGTTCTCCCGTAGCCACTGGCCCAGCGTCTCGTACATCTCCCAGTGGTCCGGCTGATCGCAGTACTCCTGCACCACCACGGCGCTGACGTGGATTTTGCCGTTGGTGCTCTCGAAGTACTTTGTCACGCCGAAGCAGTCCTCTTCGATGGGCGGCACGCCGTAGTTACCGACCATCGGCGTGGTCAGCACGAGAATCTGTCCCTGGTAGGAAGGGTCGGTCAGACTCTCCGGGTAGCCAACCATGCCAGTCGCGAAGACCACCTCACCCGCGATGCTTTCCTCGTAACCGAAGGAGTATCCTTTGAAGCACTCGCCGCCGTGCAGGACGAGCTCTGCCTTCACGTAGTGCTCCATTTTTTCTCCGTCTTCCTCAATAGTATGTGCAGGTGTTTAATCGATGAAAGGGAGGTAAGTGGCGGTATGCGGCGAGATGGAGGAGGACTCACTGTTATGTGTCGAGAAACCTAATTTGTCGACTGGTAGGCCTTTTCTTCTTCCTTTTTCTTTTTCCGCGGCTATTCTTCAGTACGTCGAGGTTCTTTTGTGGCTCGTTGGTGTGCGTGTGTGTCTCGTCGTTCGTCCATGCAGTATATGCACGAGCCTTGCTGAGGTCAAAAGAGCAGACACCACGGCAACGGAGCAGCAACGGTGATGAAGGCAAAGGAAGCAATATCAATAAAAACCAAGATATATACGTAACACGGGGGAGGTCAGCGGGTTTCTTAACGAGGTCAACTGTGTTAAAGAAAAGCAACGCTTGGTCTGTATTCTTTTTTTTATTGTTAGTAAAAATGAAGAAATAAAGAAAAAGAGTGGTTTAAATGGGTTAGATGATATATAATACTTTATTTATACATGCTGTGGGTTGATTCTTTCTCTCTCTCTTTTCCCTTTTTCCCCCTCCGTTAACGCGGCGAGATCCACCAGTATACAAGATGAAAAGAAGAACAACACAAAGAAAAACTGGGGCAGGAAGACCACCCTTTATTCTGTTTATTCGTTAGAGATATAAATAGATATCGCTGTGGCTCGTTGCGCGCGCGCCTCACTTGAGCTTTAAAAATACAAATCTCGTCTCTTTCTTGTTTCCTGGTGTTTTCTTTATTTCTCAAAAAAAAATGTCTGTTCGACACTGCTCTATGAAGTTTTTTGTTTGTTTGTTTGGTTTCGAGTGGTCAACGTGATTTGCACAAGACGCCTTGGAAGACAAAGCTGGAAAACAACAGTAAGAGAGAGAAGGAGAAACTGCGATCACCACAAACGCACCCTCGAGTTCGCGGCGGCGTCCGTACTCCAACAGAAGGAGTGCGGTGGCAGCGGCGGCAACGGAGCAGTCAGCGGTCCTTTTCTTTGCGCGGTGGCAGCCAGTTCGAATCGGAAAAATCGGAAAGCAGCAGCAGAACAAAAAAAGTGAGTAAAACAAATAAAGCCAACGTCAATTGGTAAAATATTTCTTTAATAAACTCTCGAGAGGGAGAGCAACGCGGAGAAGATGGAGAAGAACAGAAGTGGCTCAAGGTGATGAAGGGAATCCGAAGAATACACATGTATGAGGATTGGGCAAGCGTCGCACAACGGGTTACTCCGCGCCACGTGAGCATTGACGCCTATCGAAAAGAGGTGCAGCGACGTGAACGTCTGCAAAAGAAAAAAAAACAGTAATAATATCACATAGCCGTTCCCTTCGCACCTCCACCGCATGGGCAGGAGGAACGACCTCAATGTATTCTCTTTTATTGAGAACCTTCGTCGGAGCATCCAGTTCTTTCGATGCGCATCACGGCAGTCATGGAGTAGACGGCAAACGACCTCTGCGAAGTATTCTTTTTAGCTGTTGATATTGCTGTTGCGACTGTGCCGCCTGGCGATTGGGCCCGACACAAAGACGGCCTTTATTCTTTCCGACAATACATCACAAAAGAATAAGAGCAATAACTATCACAGAACAACAGTTGTATAGAGAGAGAGAAGAAGAAGAAACAAAGGGTATCTATGGAGGTGGGGTGTGGTGTGCAGCGCCTCTTCACTGTGAAGAAGGAGCCGCGCAAACACGAGGGGCAGGAGCTTCGATCCATTCCTTTAGTGGCGCTCACCGCGCAGGCGCATCGCCAGCTGCACGTCCTTCGGCTGGATCGTCACGCGCTTCGCGTGGATGCAGGCGAGGTTCGTGTCCGCCAGCACCGACACAATGTACGACTCCGTCGCCTCCTGGATCGCCATGATCGCGCTGCTCTGGAAGCGCAGGCCCTCCTTCTGCGCGCTCGACACCTCGCGCACCAGGCGCTGGAACGGCGCACGCTGGATCAGCAGGTCCGTGCTCTTCTGGAAGCGGCGGATCTCGCGGATCGCGCACGTGCCCGGGCGCCAGCGGCGCTGCGCCTTCTTCACGCCCGACGCGGCGCGCGGCGCCTTCTTGCTCTTCTTCGACGTGATGCTGCGCTTCGCGCGGGCGGTCTCCTTGGTGCGGGACATGGTGAGGGTGAGGGGGAGGGGGGTTGGAAAGCGGTTGGGAGGGGTAAAGCTGTGGTGAGCGATGAGCTGTGAGCGTGTAAGAACGGCCAGGTGTGGGAGGTGTCGTTGGAGGGAAAAGTAGGTTTTGAAAAAGCAGATAAGACGTGTTTGGTGGGGCGAGTAGCGAGCAGGAGCTACGTACAACAGAGACAGGAAAGAGCCTCTCCTTAACGATATTGGTAAAACAGCGAGTAACGACGAGGTGTCAACGAAATACGTGCCTGCAGCCTCCCCGCAGTAGATACATATATTTATATGATGCCTCTGCTTCTCGTTTGAATCCCGTGAAGTTTGCAGCTCCTTCTTCACTTGTCACTGACGCGCTCCGGGGGGCGCGCGTACTCACCTAACGGCATGCATTGCGCTAATATAATCTGTTTCGTTCTGCGTGGCGCTACTCCGTTTCCAGGGCATACGTCGCGCCGCCTGCGACGTACAACAAACCAGATTCGTGGTGGTACAAACCAACCGTGGCTGCGCGACTCCCCACGTTGCTGGACTCTCCCACGGCCCGCGCAGAGGTGTGTGCGCGTGTTCTTCCTCGCCCTCTCGCATGCACAGATGATGAAGTGTCAAAAACAAACGCATCCACCTCCGCTTCCTCTTCCTCCTCCGCTGTTGTCTTCCCACTGCTGCTGCTGCGGCGGCGGCGGCTGTCATCGGCATCATCGTCATGGTCATCGTCGTCCTCGCTTCGTACGTGTCGCTGCTCCAATGAAATAAACGACGCTGCCGCGACGTGCAGGCGATTGCGGCCGTAGCGCCACGACGAGGCGTCGAGCAGCGTGCGGCTCGCACACGCCGCATCCACGCAGCCCAGCACGGCACCGACCTCCTCCAGCGCCTCTGACACTTCATCGGCATCCCGCTGCGCCGACATCGTAGAGTCCGTGGGCGGCAACAGATGCCGAAAGAGCGCGGCAGTGGACGTGTGGACGTCCTCCACGACGGCGACCGGGTCTGGTGCTCGGGTACGATCCGATGTAGGCGCGGAGGAGGAAAGCTTCACCCACGATACACACGGCAAGCCTTGTGTGAGGCCACCCGACGTGGCAGCCGGCGGCACCTCGCATCGCGTGCGTTTCCACACGAGAGCGTCCTCCACCTCGCCGTGTGGGGCCGCGTGTATGGGTGAGGATGAAAAGGCGGACGGCTCCGCCGACGCGCGGCGGTCATCGTCGTCCGTTGCTTGAAGCAGCCGCGGCGGGCACCCACAGCGCTTCAGTTCACCGTATGGACGGATGCTCCACTGGGCGGCCGGCCACAGTGTGGTGTGATTCTTTAAGCGTCCCTCGTCCTCCACGGACACATCTCTCTCTGCCGCCCTGAGGCTCATCCCTGCTGCTGTAGACCTGACTGGACTCTGCAGCGGAGACGGCATGAGGTTGCCCTTGTCATAGGCGTATGGTGCGACCTGTGCGGTCTGCAGGTTGGTGGTGCGGTCCCGTAGCAAATAATAAAGATGTGCAGCCGACGTGGCAAAGTCAGGAAGAGAAGTGCAGGCCGTTGCCGCGCCACCGCGACCGTTGCCTCCTTCCGCCGTTGTTGGGGAGGCGGTCATGGTGGCAGCGAGCCGCCCGAGGTCAGCGCACCAACGGAATACCAGTTCATTCGGTGTGTGCATAGCGCTCGTTTGGTTCTCACAAGTGGAGCGAAGCGTTCCGTCGCTCTTGGCCGACGGTCGCACAGCACCGCGCTGATTCGCCGCATTGCCATTCTGTGCAGTTGTCACGGACGTTGGGTCCTCGCAGCTGTGAAGGACCTCCGGCAGAGCACACGAAAGGACCAGCACGGTGCACGTGGCCACCTCGGCTAGTACAGAAGCACCAGCGCCCATCAGCTGCGCCACTTCTCTGCTGCCGTTGGTTGAACTGTAGGTTCTCTCCCCTTCTGCCAACGTCGCTGACGAGCTCCCCACTGCGCTCCGTGCAGCAATGGGTGGTGCGTGCGGCGCCACCACCACAAAAAAGCTCTCGTCCATCGCCGCTGCTGCCTTTGCACGCGTCATGAGCTGCGAGAGCTGCGGTGACAGCGACGACGGTGGCGGTGCACCCGCCACAGGCCGCTTCGATTCGTCTCGGAACAGCACGGCATCGCCACCTCTCCGCTGCGTGGCCCCTGTGCGCCGTGAAGAGGCTGACGGGCCTGCAAAAGTGTGTCGTGCCTGCTGCATTCGTCGGTGGTGCTGCTTGAGTTGTTCCTGAACGGCGCGAAATGTACATGTCCGGTACGTGTCCTTCTCCTCCGCAGGGGACGGTGCTAATACCACATGCGGGAACGTGCCGCTGCCGGAGGCAGAGACGGCAACGCTTTCCGCCTCCGAGGCGACGTCCCCGTCACGGGGACGCTGTGCAGTTAGAAAGCCCTCGAGGTTGTCTGTGTTGCTCCTCAAACTATTCCCTGCTCCGGTAGACATCAGCGGATGTAGCAGCTGTGCCGTGTGCACGGCCACCGACCGCACCAACACCGCCGCCAATGGCGGAAAAAGAAAGCTGTGCGTGGAAGAAGAAGTGCCGTCATCGTCGCCGCCTAGCAGAAAGCTCCTGTGTGTGTCACGCGCCGTCGTGGAGGAGCCGGGTGTTTGCGCTTCGTCGTAAAGCAGCAGCAGATCGTCAGCAGCGTAGTCGTCAAGGTGAAGGAGGACACGGGCGAGCAGGTCTGCCGGAGCAGCGTCCTCGTAGCGGTGCGCACGAAGGAGCATTCGCGCATTCGCCATACCACCATCATCACCATTGTCGCCGCTGTGGTGGTGGGCTGCGGAGGCGGCCGCGGTCTTCGTGTGCTTCACGTACTTCGCCTTAGCTAAACTTTTGCTGCTTTCATGGTCCTCCATCCGCCACGGCGGTGTGTCAATGGAGTGCAGCGCCGAATCTTGCAGCCAGAAAAAGTAGGCGCCGTCCATCAGCATCGCCTCCGCCAGGGCAGCCACGGCCTCCCAAAGCAATGCGTTCGGAAGCGTAAAAAACGCAGTGGAGCAGTCGGAGAAATCCTTGCTATCCGCGATGACTGGACAGTACGGATGGCTTCGTGTGATGCCCGCCGTGACGGGCGCGGCAGGCGCTGCCGTGAGCATCAGTCGTGGGCGGCCACCACCTCGCTGGGGCGTGGGTGGTGAAGGAAAGGAGGGGGACGGGGGGAGACGTTCACGTTGGGAGGGATAGGGCGAACGAGATGGCGAGGACGCCGCAGACAGCGCAGCATCCCCCGCCGCCCCGGCCGCGCTGACGAGACTCCCGCCCGAGGGAAAGGCCAGCGTGGCATTGAGGGGAGAGGGAGGCGACTCCGTCACGGACAAAATCCATGATTCTGTTCCGCCGTACGAGGGGAGGAAAAGGGTCGAAGAGTGCTGGAGCGTGCTGGGCACCGGCGATGACGACGGGGTAGGGGCTGTGGCCCTTGCCGCTCGTGGAGAGGCCGGCGAACGTGGAAGGGCGAGCTGTGCTCCATTGCTGTCGCTTGAAGCAGGAGAAGGCACGCTGTCGACGGCGACCGGGGCAGCGCTGTGAAGCGCATCAGCGAGACCGCTGAAAAAAGGAGCCAAGACGTGTAGCAGCACGCGCACCAGCAGAGCGGCGTTGTCATCGTCGACGAGCGTATCGTGTTTCTTCTGAGCACGAGGCATGCTGGCGGCATGAGGGAGAAACAAGAAATAAATTAAAAGCAGAATCGTTAGTCAGGACTGCGGCGTTGTTGGCGATTCTCCGAACGGATCGCAATGAAGTTCAAGACGGCGTCTTGCCACGCTCCTCTGTGGCGATAAAGAGAAAGAAGCGGAAAGATGCTTCGGTGTGTCGGTGCGTCTATCTAGAAGAGCGCTGTTTCCTTTGCTGTGTGGTGCGCCTGATATGCGCAACGGTCATTAAGCGCTACTGTCGCTTACATACATATATATATATGTGTGTGTGTGTGTGTAATAGCAGTAATGTAGCTGTTATGGAGGAGGAACAGCGTCATAGCCCAAACAAAGAAGGTGGAGAGAAAGGGAGAAAACAATCAAGACGACAGAGAATCAGCAAGAGAGACGT